AATAGAAAACTACACTAGAGATCACAGAAAAAAGTGGGTTTTTTCCCGTGAACATGAAATCCTTAAATAAATAACGACAAAAGTTGTCCAATGGGCAGGAAAGACAAAAGAGGATTACACTGATCACTAGTCACGACAAAACAGACAATAATTTCCTTGCTGCATACCTTGCTCTTATATACCTTTAATCTTGGCAATGATCCACAACACAGCCTCTGAGAGCGTACCCTCAGGGTCATGTATGCTTCATTACTGTCTGCGGCCCTTCAAACCATTTTGCTTGCCGTCGCGGCAATCTCTGTCTAGCCGCCTAGAGTTGACGAAGTCTTTAGTGTTGGGAAATTTTGACTTTTCGCAGAAGAACTTCAGGGTTTAAAAGTGCGTTGCGACTACGTGCGGAAGGACAAAGTCCTCCAGGCACGCACTCTGGCTTGACCGTAAAGGGACGCTTTTGGACGTCAGTCGGAAAGCTACACCGCCTGAGACCAATAAGAGTGGCAGTGCTAACCTGTTGGAATTATAAGTTCTCTTTCATTGTTACAATTGACGTCCCAAGTTACGGTCTTAGGCCTAGCTATGGTGAAACTGTCCTTGGTTTGCTGGAATCGCTGTTTTTACTCTTTATGAGACGTACCTATTGGCAGCTGTAACTTTATATTGAGTTTAATTTTGTTCGATTTGCCGATTTGTACTTTTATAGCTCGTTTAACTTCTTTAGCGTTTGTTTATTAGATTTGTGTTTGGATTCTCTTTGGTATCGTGATAATTGAATGTTAGTAAGTTGAAGAGTTGCCTATAGTCGCAAAGAAGTAGTTAAGCCGTAGGTCCAGATTAGATCAAGCTTATTAATGAAGAGTGTGATTTTAGAGTTTGTTGGTTGTTATCAAAGTTGTCTATGTCAAAGGTATCATCGAGAGTCCTCTATCTAAGTAGTAGCGTCAACGCTTTCACCCGAAATTGAGAAGCGTCAGAAGGATAGTAGGAAACAACTAGGTCAAAATTTGTAACACAAGTTTTAAAGAAGGGAATTCGTGCAAAGTCTTGTTAACACGATAATCTTAAAAAGAATTTCTGGGACTCAGCTGCAGTAGGGGTTTGTTTTCTTTGTTGTGTCTATTTTCTTAAAACGGAGGATTTGCCTCTTTTTGGGAGACCAGAAGGAGAAACCGACTCATAGGAAGGTTTTTGCTGATAGTTATTATAATTGTATTTATTATTTTCTTCGCTAACTTGGTTTGGATTGGCTAAAATAATTTATTCTCTCCTTGTTACTGATTTTTTAGTTCAACTACATTATTCTAAACTTGAAGACTTCGTTACAGGTTAGTAATTTATTGTGTTTCATGCCACAAATTTTTGTTGCTAAGGTTACTATAAATTTTTTCTTTTCTTTAATTTATCCTTCTGTCCGTCTTTTGCAGTACTTCTCTTAAATAACTATTTCTTTCAAACACTGGCAGTTTTAATTGGATTTAATATTTCTTCAATCTGAGATGCTGTCTTTCTTGAATAAAATAAAGTCTTTCTCTCTATTCATGTATCGGTTCTACGTTAAATTAATCGAGATTATCAAATGTAGAGCCGGATTCCTGATAATAGTGAGTTCGGTACAAGAGGACTCTATAGGTTAATTAAAGCCAGTTACGGTGTTCTGATAAAGGAGAAACTAACTGTAGCCGGCAGCTTCAAATGAGCCCTAAATCAACTCAAATTAAGTTACTGTAGAGATAGGGAAGTCCCATTACAAGCAAAACTCAGAGTAAATACAATGCATCGAGTTACGGCAACTCAGTCTTCTAAAGTATTACGGCCTTTTAAGACAATAAGCGACTAATTACTTCTTACAGAGCGTAGAGAAAAACGATATTTCAGTTTTAGGTGTATAGAGGTTGCTTGGTAGACTTACTAAAAAGTTACAACGATTTTTTTTAAGCAGTGCGGAACGTTAATCAGTCAGCGTCTGGTTGCAAACAAGTTTCTACTGTTATGCTAATTATATTAAACCTCAGCAATGATTTTGCGCCATCGAGGAGATAAACAGCAGTAAAGTCCGCCCGGCTTGTCTGGTAATCCTAAGTTAAAGGTTCTTTTTCTGCGCATTTTTACCGACAACAGTCTCAAGCCTTTGACTGTTTACGACTGCTCGCCATTCTGTCTGAACTTCTCGTACCTCTGATTTCATCAAACGGATCCTCTTAATTTTAAGAGACGCAATACTAAACAGTAGACGTACAGAAAATGCCGATGTGTAATATCCTCTTCTTTGTGGCTTTGGTTACTTAAAAGTCAAAAACGACTTGATCTGAGGAGCAGTGCCATGTGTACCCCTTTCAAATGTGGTTAGCTGGAGCTCTGTTTCAGTCAGAATTTATTATAAATACTTCTCATAAAATTTGATGGTATAGGCACAATTATAGTATGATTATTTTGAGCTGCAATTTTTCCTAACGTTTGAAGGTAACGTAATTGTACAGCTGCCGGAGAGTCAAGAAACTTGTCTGCCGCTTGCTTCAGTACAACGGATGCCTTAAATTAAGTACATTTTGGTAATCTATTTTTATGCAGATATAATTAAAATTTATGGCGTATTTCTGAACAGTTCAGCAGTGAGCGCATTGCTTCGTAAGACTGACAGCTCAAGTACAAAATCTTGAAAACAAGGTAAAGAAATGCTTACTAAATTTTTAAAATTATTTGAAATCGGGGGGCCGCTATCGTCTCGCAATTTATTTTCTATCATAGGTAATGGCAGATTAGCTATTTTTGTTGGTATATATTTTTTAGTTTAATTACGCTGTCAATTTACGTGAGAAACAACTTAATTGTAGTTAAATCATATGGACATATTGTCCAGTAACTACTAGACAAGAGCTCCCTTACCTCGAATTCCCCAGATGCTGAAACAACTTTAGCATCAGCATTCCTTGCAGCTTCGGCCTCTGTCGCAAGTGCTCTACAAAGTTCAGTAGGAACCCTGATATCTTTTAATTCCACTCGTTCCACCTGTATACCCCACGGGTTGGTACCTTAATAATAACAGTAATCGATTTTTTTTGCAAAGTGAGGAAAAATCAGGTACATTTCTTTGTTATTTATACAAAAATGTGTATTTATTTTAAAAAAAACCTTCGTGTAATACTTCTTGCGTTTGAGCAGCAATGCCTTTTCTGTCGCTCATTATTTCGCTCAATGTTCTGGTTCCTACTACATTTCGAAGTGTCGTTTGAGCTAGTTGCTTGGTACTCATATGAGCATCCGTGATGCTTGAAATTGTTGCGACTGGGTCTCTGAATGAGTCATAAAGCGAATTATTCGTTGACTATTAAAGTACTTTCTCAACCATCTCTTGCGCTCTAAATTAGTAGTCGCGGAATGGAAGTTCATAACGTCCTGTAGCAGTGGACTGATAATGCTGTCGCGACATTAGTAAGTTAACTGGCTATCGTAAAGGTATACTTTTAAGAGACATTTATATTTTTCTGGTAGTGGATTGAAAACGGACCAAAGTTTTTCGTTCAGGCCAAAAAAAAGAGTGTTATGACAGACAGCGTGCAGATGAATATTTGCTGTTTATAAGACAACTTGGAAGGGGTATGCCTGCTTTAGCTGGCTAACAGACAATGCATAGACGAAAAGCTTTTCGTTTAGGTTTTGCCTGCACATGGTTCAAGGGAACAAAGGTGAGGCTGACAGTTGACAGTATACGTGTCAGCTGTTTTTCCAAATTAAAGGGGAGAAATATTCAAAAAAAAAAGAAAAAAAAAAAAAGAACAGAGGTTGGAATCAAGCATTCAATTCTGCAGTTCGCATTTTTGCTAGAGCAGATTTTGTATAAATAAAAATTAGGCGATCAATCTTTCGCCTTTGAGTTGTCTGCTCGTTAAATGGGGGCTGTCTTGTAAGTGAGTTAGCAGGTGGTGGAAAATTGCTTGCTTTTCCAGTAAAAGTTCAGGATTGTATTGTCATTTCGTCTTCCTTACAAAGAATCTTATTTGTTTTTTTTTCTTAGCTTTTTTAAAAAGAAAGTGTAAAACTCAACAAAAATTTAATCATTTAAAGGAAAAACAGAAGTTAATTTTATTTTACGAGTTAGTTTTTATAAAGTCAAAATTTGATTTAATAGTACTACAAGAACTGTCCAAGATTACTGGTTTTTTGTATTGCATATGTGGAACGGGTCTGCATTTCTAGAGGTCTTTGCCTATGAGTTTCACCAAGCGCTGTTCCCTCTAATAGAAATGAGAAGTTTTGGTTTGCTTCCTGTTGCAGCTAACCTACCGTGAATTCTTTATTTCTGAAGCTGTTCTTCTTCTGTTATTATATGTAGCAAATTAATCTGCGTGTCGTAGTCCGTCATTTATGTCGTCAAAAAGAAGGTTTTTTTTGCTAGGATTTTTCCGTTCAAACGGAATAGTCCCAACAACTTTCACGGTTATGAATTTCCTGCATAACTGGTTCTTTTTTCTAGCTGTTTTTTCTACTACAAATAAACGCGAAGCCTTTGTGTAGGCTGATGTCATTAAATCTTTGTCTTTCTAAAATTTATTTTTTGTAATAATGTTTGGTCAACAATAGTTTTAACAAACATTGTTATGGTGCTGAGCTAGAAGTTTTGACTTCTACAGCGCTTCTTTTTTCAAAATTTTTAAAGCACTAGTTGATTATAGCGCATTTGGCGAATATTTGTAGCATAAATTTATTTTATATCTATGATTTTAATTTTTTTTCTATTATTATTACAAATTGGCTAAACAACTTTATCAATTTAAATGCTCTTACAATTGCAGAATTTACTACTCGTATTGCAGTACTTTGACCTGCTATGGCTAATATTTCTAGAAAATTAATTTTTAGAAATGCTATGAAAGAAACTTTTGAGATTTCAACGTAATTAAAAAACAAAATTGGTGAACTTTTAACGGTTTACAGCAAATAATCAAGAAATTTTTCAATTTTGGGGTTATAATATATTGCACATAACGACATAATCTAGTCTGTTTCTAAAGCTCTTCATTATTTTGTTCAGAAACAGTACTGAAAAAGCCCATATTACACTTAGTTTGAGTATTTTGGTAGACTATCATCGTTTTGTCTATAAAATTGAAATATGATTATTTTATAAACGGCTCTTACAAGGCAGAAGTTTGCCAAAATTTTTTTGACCTTATCTAACTACAAATTTAAAAAAAAAATTTTTTTTTGGCTATTGCTGTGCAATATTATGATTTCAAGGCCAAATTAAGTTTAAAGAAATTAATAAGCAATTTTTTGGAATTTTAAGAAAACTTTTTTTTTCGATTTTTAGCTGTTAGGAAAGTTTTTAAAATCTAGAATTTACCACTAAACACCTTGTTTTGAAATAAACGGCTGCATCGACCGATACTGTGACCGAATCTCTGGTCAGCATTTCCTGTGATGGCACGTCGTAAGACATTGTTCGAAGATCCACCAGGTGATGTTCGTCGATGCAAGGCAATATCAAAACAAGACCAGGTCCTTTCGGTGAGCTTCTCAATAATCGTCCTAGACGAAATATCACCTGAACCAATTATTCTGAGTGTTTACTTATTATTTGTTTGCCAGTTTCGTGCTGCTTTATACAGTAAACTAGATGAGCTTTGCTTAAGCTAATATTGATTTGGTTGTTTCTTTTTTGTTGTAGAATCGGATTACCGATTGGGTTCCTTTGATATAAAAAAAAAATTCTCTTTTCAATTCATAAAACTTCTGCTTTTCTTCACGCATATAGTTATCAGCTGTATTGCAGGACAACATTAAACTAACAAAAAATCACGCATCGAGGTTTTTTGAAGTTTTAGGGAACAGAACGTTACTGTTCTCCGCAACTGACTTAAGCCACACTTCTAGTTTACTATTTAATTTAGGAGTCAGCGAAAAGCATTTGGAACAAAGCCGATTAGTGGAAGATAAATTTTTTACCAACTTGAGCAAATGCTTGGCATTTTTTATTCATAGCTGAAATATATTAATAAATTGTCTTCAAATAATAACCTTTTTGGAACAAATTTTATTGACTTTAAAGGTGTTTGCTTTACAGAGCCAGAAATTTACAACAAATAGACGAAATTGAACTTTTTTAAACACTGAACATAGAATAAACATACTGCAACTAAAAAAGTGCGTATATTAATTAGTGCATATGTACACATATGTATATGCACACAAGTTAATTGCAATGTTACTCGAAGGAAAAGAAAAAAGAAAGTATAGAAAAAAAAATTTTTTTTGTCACTAAAATATACAACTGTTTTCAAAAATAATTTTACTAACCAAAAAATAAATTTTGAAAAATGTTAAACATTGATTGGTAAATGGAGTTGTAGTTGTCTTTCAATAAGCAACAAGAAAAAGAAATGCAGCGTGAGAAGGTTCTCGCACTAATTGTTTTTCTTGCAGTTTTATACTTGAACTTTAGGTTCTAATTTGCATATATTCTACAACTCGACAAGCCTTAAATAATGAAACTATTGTTTTATTCGCTTCTTCCCAAGGAATCATTTTCCATCTTTGGTGGACAAAGACGAACGCGCAGAAACAAGTACGTTTTCACAAGCGCTCATCTTTCACCCTATTGGTTTATGAAAATTTTTTGAAAAAAAATCTTTCAGGAAGAAAATGAGCTTGTAAAAAAACGACAACTTTTTTATCATACGCACATAAACCAATTTTGCATCTTTTTCTTTTTTTTTTGTTTTTTTTTCTTTTTTTGTGTAGCACAAATTGAGGCATTTTTTCAGTGGGAAAAAAAAAGTACTATTTGATAAATCTACATTTCATTATCCATCATACATGAAATAGAATTTATTAAGCTTTATTGTTGAATAGAAAATTTGCTATTGACTTCTATGTTTTTGATCATTATGTAGATGTTCATGCAATATTAGACGAAAAAAATATCGCATTTTAACTGTACTTAGGTGGCTATAAACAGGTATTTTTTAAATAGTCGAACAATAGACAAAATGTATAACGCTCTATTGTTAAAATAAATAAAAAAAGTTGGAGTTTTTGTTTCGAGAACGGTATTGCGTAAAACAATTTTTTAGAAAAATAGTGATAACAAAGAGCAAAAAAAAAAACTAAAAAATAAAAAAATAAAAGTGAAATAAAATAAAAAATATAAACTTTTCTTGTTTAACGACTTTTAATAAGAGAAAACAGGGGATAAGCACTAACCATTCTTTTATATTCGTGTACTACCCGTATGCAAAAGAACATTGAGAACGGAAAAGTAACGAATATCAGGCACCAGGTCAGTACAATTACAGCATAGTATCCTAGCGGCCAGTCTGCTTCCTTCATCTAAATTATCGCTGTTTTTCAGTGTTTTACATTATTCATTGTTGTCTTCGAAAAGTATCATAGAAATAGCAAAGAAGGAATTAGCGGCGCCAGTAAAACAGTTGAACAATACAAGGTTGGTTTACCACTTTGACCAAATTCAGTACTTTGACGGTCTTAATAAAGTCAGCCGTAATTATTCGTTAATTATTACACTGTCTCATCTTCACTGTGGATAAGACACTAATAGGTTTAAAACAGTTAAAGAATTAAAATTTTAGCGATTCTAAAAGCAAAAAAAGAGAAAAACTTGCTTATAAATGTTGTATTGTTGTAATTATTCAGAAGCCCTTGAAAAATTAAAAAAAAATTTTGTTCTGTTGTCGATCTTCTTTGTTTGTTCTCTTCTTATTTTTCGTTATATTTGACAATAAAACATTTGCATCGATCATACGACAACCCTCAACAGAGAAAAAAAAAACAGAGGAACAATAAATTTTGGCTGATATCAATCATTCAGCCAAACAATGCTTAGGTGTTCCTTATTGAAAATTTTTTACAAAAGAAAGGTCTTTTTAAATTTTAAAAAAAAAAAAAAATCAAAATTTTGTTTTAGAAACGGAGACGTAACGTCAACATGGAAAAACAAGACAAATATATAAAGTTTACACGACATCAAAACAGTAGCCTAACAAACCATTTGACGTGTTGTAAATTATAATTCCTGAGACGAACTTTAAGAGTATAATTAGATAGCATAATTATCATACCAAATATTTTGACTGAGTTCTACAGTTTCATTTTAACGTTACTTTTCTTACCTGTTTAGTTGTAAAGAAACTTTTAATCGGATGTTTTTTTAGAAACATTTGCTTTTCAGTAAAACTTCTTATATAGCATACGCTGTTAAATTTGATAGTTTTTTTT